TCATCTGTGTTGCAAAAGCGGTTGCGATGGGAAGACCAGGGCAAAGAGACAGAAATTTTGGCCACTGTAGCAGGTTCAAAAGTACAAGATATGAGCCATATAGACATGAGCAACCTCACAATAAATCTGAGGGGAGACGGACATACAACGAGAGACGGAGATCTTCGTCAACGTTGCTCCCTCCAAGAGATACATTGCTGCATGTGCCAAGGGTGAAACCACCCATGCCCATAAACCAGGGAGAACAACAAACACCAGAGGCAGCGCAGAGCTATACATATGTAAGTATCCATATAGAAAAAAAACATACAAGCACAGTCCATACCATGGTGCTGTGACCACCCCATCTAACATTTTCATAACTACGTTTTTGTTTGGTCACTGTTGCATGCAGCCACCTGACATTGAAGCTTACGTTCTGCCAAGGCTAGAGATGAGGTTTGAAACTTTCGAAGAAACAAAGAACTTCTACAATGTATATGCGAAGCACGCGGGTTTTGCTATCAGGGAAGGCCCCAAGTTTAAGACCAGAGCCTACCTTTATTGCACGTGCCATGGAGTTATGAATCAAAGGTGTTTGAAGCAAATAGACAGCATAACAAGACGACAGCCAGAACTAACTACGGGGCTAAAATGAGGCTGAAGAAGGAAAAGGATGGAACATTTGTCATAAAAGAGATAGTCTGGGAACACAACCACAGGCTACAGCTCACCGCAGAAATGCTTGTCTTCTTGCACTCCCACAAAAACTTTGACAAAACAATCTTGGAGTACGTCAAGTACCTACAGTTCAAAGGAGTTGAACACGCGCAAATCATGAGCATACTGGGCGGTGATGACCCTGGTAGCTACTTCCTCGAAATGAATGCCAAAGACCTGATTAACCTGTAAGTACAAACTTGTTCTCCTCCCATAAACCGCCTCCATCTTTTTTCCTCTATCAGTACAAACATATTACGCAATGCATGACCTGACGCCAGTTCAACATGCATTTTTCAATGAACTTTTAATATGCAGGAAAGCAAAGAATTCAAGGATTGATGATGTGGATGATGTCCTAAAGACTGTCAACTTCTTTAGGGAGATGAAAGCTATAAACAGGGAATTCTTCTGTGACACGCAACTCGATGAGTCCGACAGAGTTAAGAACATATTCTGGGCGAACGCAAGCTGCCGAGGGGCGTATCAGGACTTCGGGGACTGCGTAACGTTTGACACAACATATAAGACCAACAAGTACCATATGCCACTTGGGGTGTTTGTCGGAACTAACAACCACTTACAGACTACATTCTTTGGTTTTGCCCTGATAAGAGATGAGGATGCAGATTCATTCAAGTGACCGTTCAAGACATTTTTAAGGTGCATGAGAAGGAAGGCTCCTACATGCATCCTCACAGGTACAACCGCTAAAAACCACCCCCAACCACCACCACCCATCCAAAAAAGAAAAGGAAAATAACACGGTAAAAATGTTGTGTCAGTTCTATTGGTATATATGCACAACCATCTGCTGACCACTCCGAGTCTGTTTTCTCATTACCAGACCAGTGCCCGGCAATGGCTTTGGCGATCGCAGATGTTTTCAAGAACACACTACATAAGCTATGCCGTTGGCACATTATGAAGAAGTACAAGGAACACCTCGCATACCTGTATTACCTGCACGATGACTTTAAGGATGAATTCACATCAATGCTCAACTGGCCCCTCATGCCAACTGAGTTTGAGGATGCCTGGAAAAGACTCATGGATAAGTACAACCTCCACGATGATGCCACAATGGTGGGCATGTGGAACGAGCGTGAGAGATGGATATCAGCCTACTTCAAAGAAATTTTCTGTGCCAAAATGACATCCACACAACAAAGTGAGAGCATGAACTATGTGCTCAAGAAGAACTACGTAAGTGATAGACATAACCTACACCGGTTTGTCAGCCAGGTAAACTCATGCGTCAAAACCAGGAGGCAGACAGAGAACCAGGAGACAATGGGTAACCGGGTATAGCTCTATCACTTGTCGTAAGACAAAAAATTACATGCTTACTAAAGTAAAACTTTATTAGAAGTTTTTGCTGCGAGAAAACTAACAATTTGGTCATCACTCTTGCATGTGCAGAAGGAACAAAACACGCTGACCTTCTATGGGTTTGACACCCAGATGGCAAAGTTGTACACACGAGCTGTGTACAGCGAGATCAGAAATAGGTTAAAACTGAGCACACTCTTCACGGCGACAGAGACAGAAGAGCCCCAAAAGTACCTCATGCGCTACAACCACCCGTAAAAACTGTCTGTGTTGGCTCAGCACGTGTTCCAGGTGGTTGCAGACCCCGTGGGAGAAACACATTAGTGCGAGTGCAGGCTATGGGACCACACAGGTGAGGACTACAAAAAAGATGTTACATACTATACTACTTTTTTGCAAAGTTTTTGTTCGAAAGAAATGACAAAAAACATGCACCTCTTCCAAAAACAATACATGTCTTTTCTACGTGCATGTCATGTGCATGATGCAGACAATTAAGGCTGCCAGCATTCCAGAAAAATACATCCTCAGGAGATACACCAAACGCCCGAACATCCAGCCAACATTTGACAGAAATGACTTGAGGACAGTAGCGTCAAACAAGGCATCCCAATACTGCATTGAAAGCTCACTGCTGACACTGAACATGAGGGTGCATAGAAAAAGCATGAGAAGCCAAGAGCAAATGGCGAGGTTGCGGGTCGTCATGGACAAACTTGAACAAGAACTCGACGCCGTGCATTCTGCTGAAAATGGAGGTGTCGCGGACAATGAAGCCATTGAGCACGATATTGCTACAATGTTATCCGAGATGAACCATCAGGGAGCTATTGACCCGTTTAACAACGAGGAAGAGGAGCAGCAGCAATCGGAGCTTGCCCATGTGCACACTCAAGAGCACCAACAAGCTCACATGCGAGATCATGAGCTTGATGGTGTTGTAGGCGAACGACATGACAATAGCACATCCTACCAGCAGCAGCAGGAAAGGGTGATTAAACCACCCATATTCTCAAACACAAAGGGGAGGAAGAGCAAGACGCAAACAGCTAAAGCTGCGAAAGCAACAGCCAAAAAGCCACCACGCCCCATCAAGCGTGTGGAATTTGGCCCGGACGCCAAACCTCTCGGGATAAGGGCATGCGGATTCTGCAACGTCGTGAGCAACCATAGCTACCGCATATGCCCACTCCGCACAGATGACACTGTCAACAAGAACAAGCAGATTGGAGCAACCCAGCTTTCTACCAATGGAGACAACACACGTAACAGCTACACTTGCCGCAAGTGTGGGGGAACTGATGGACATAATGCCTAAACGTGCAAAGTGGGCAAGGAGGTCAGTGGAGCTGAACAGAAATAGGGCAAGGTGAGTTCCAAGCAATCAAATGAAGACGATGAAGAAGAAGAGTTTGACGAGAATGACGACCAATCAGACGAAGACAATGAAGATGATAGTTTCGAGGGCGAGGAAACTGAAACTGACGATGAAGCTGCCAAGGCTCAACCTGGAAAGGGCGCCGGCAAGGCACAACATTCGGGGAGAGTTATAAGAAGCTCAAGACTGAACAATACATAGTGGTTATCCTGCTGCGTCAACTAAAAAATAACCTTGTAGTCTCAGTTGCATTGACACACAATGAGGAAACATTTCAGAAACACTGTCGTTACCAAAACTTATTTAGCTTTATCATCGATTTCTCGATCACTACTATAGTTAAGATATAATTTCTGATTTGTGCCTGCTGGAGCAGTGACATTATTATGTAAACCACTTGATAATCATTTTCAATGCAGTCACAAATACGTTTGAAAAAACTTATCTGGATATATCTGACGCAAAATGCTACTGTCAACCAGTAACTCAGCAAAAAAATATGTCAAGGAAAAATTTAAACTCTTGTAGTACATCAGTACTCATAACTCTCAGTCGTCAGTACAAGATAGAGTACACATCAGTACTGATATAATTTCTGATTTGTGCCTGCTGGAGCAGTGACATTATTATGTAAACCATTTGATAATCCTTTTGAATGCAGTCACAAATAAATTTGAAAAAACTTATCTCGATATATATGACGCAAACGCTACTGTCGACTAGTAACTCAACAAAAATATGTCAAGGAAAAAATTTAAACTCTTGTAGTACATCAGTACTTATAATTCTCAGTCATCAGTACAAAGACATAGTAAAACAAACACACCATGAACGACTCAAAAAAAACATCATTTTGAAAAAAAAGCTATGCCTACTTCTGCCAGTCCCAATTCAGAAAGACCATCAGTACATAAAAATAATTACCTCAAGCAAAATGCGAATATAATACATCCTGTACTGATGAAAATCTAATTAATCTGTAAAAAATACTCACAGATTATCTTGATATAAACAATCCTTTAAAAAATACGAAAATTGTTTTAAAAAACATTAGCACCACACATAGTCTCACTGGTATTTGGTACGTTCAATTACACTTCAATCACCAGTCCAAGTACAACAGTAGAGGGGTTCAGACCTCCATCAACCGACCCTGACACATGCAAGTGGGATAAGTAGCTGATAAGTACAGCTTGACTATACGAATCGGTGCAACAGTAAAATGCCATCATCACCACCGCAGAGACGTGCAAATGGGATTTAGCAGGTCATAAGTACAGCTTGACAAGACTAGTCAGTACAACAGTACAAACCATTTAACTTGGACGGTTAGTTCGTCCACGCCTCCACCCACGCCACCCACTGAGCGGTTGCCACAAGGGACTGCAAACGGTGACCCCACGCCACAACACCCACTACACCCACGCCCTCGACGAACCGCCTCCCACAAATCCCCGTCCATGCGCTGCAAAAGAACCCATTCTCTTCTATCTCTCCCTCATTCCCACAAACCACCATTGCAGCTTCCATCTCCACTGCACACAAACAAAAAACTTCTCTCTCCCAAGCCCACAGTCGCCGGAGGAAGGCGATGGCGGAGGAACCGTCCGCCAAGCGTCATCATGCTGAGACAACGGACAAGAGCAACAACCTCATCAACATTCACGTCCCCGGTGAGAAGAGCGAGTACACAACAACCCTCAAAGAGGTTGAGCTCCACGGCAATGAGACGCTGGAGATCGTCTGCACCAGCGTACCAGAAAAGGCCGACGAGGTGATCTCCAGGCTCTAGAGGAAGCTTGGCGGCAGGAGTCCGAATCATAGGATCATCGGCGTTGGTGTGCACTACACCAACGAAGATGAACCTCCCCAGATGGCAGCAGTCCTGCAGTTGTGCATCGACGACCTCTGCTTGGTGTACCACATCGCAGCGGCCACAAAATGGTGAGCAATCCTACTCATTTGCCCTATATATGGTTTATCTGTTTTATTAGTACTGTATCCTAAAAATTTAATCAAACTTGTTTCCCAACTAGATGTACTAGTGTGGTTTGTGAAAAGTGGATGCACTACTACAAGATATACTATAAATGTATTTTTGAAGCTGATGCACTGAATTACTATTTGGAAAATCTTGCGGAAGATTAAATTCTGAAGTTGATCGACTAGTGTAGTTTCTGAAGTTGATCCAATAGAGTAGTCTATGTACTCGATGTATTAAAAAGATGTTTTTGAACTTGATGTAGTGAAGTATTTTCTAAATTTGATCTAATGTTATTTTCATAAGAAAATAAACTAAGGACTTGGTGAAGCACTGGTTATGTGTTATCTATTCAACAAAAGTAGACTAAACTAGTACCAATGCAGAACATACAACATTGACTGAAATTATGTATAGTCCAAAAAGAAGAATAACATGATGTACTTAATTTAATTTCAGAACTTTCTTTACTAGTTTTTGAAGTACATTCATCCATTGTGTATCCCACATAAACAACTACTTCATGGATTCATCGCTTGTAAAACAAAACAAAAATGAATAATTCAAACATCAAAGTAATGCTAATATTCAAAATGTCTCTCCCCTTGCAGACCCATGCGCCTGCCCGAGATGCTGTAGCATGAGAAGTTGTTCACATTTGCCAGTTTCAGCATTGAAAGCGACAAAGAGAAGCTGAAGTTGTCTGGTATGGAGATCAACCCCAACAAGTTCATCGACATTCAACGCAAGTGGAGAGTTCCATACACCGGGAAAGAGTACGACTCCTTGACGATGTTGCAGCCAGCGTCATCCACCCATTCTACAAAGGCATGAAGAAGAAGATCAACATGTGGGAAGACTATAAACTGTGGGGGACCAGCCCGCTGCCAGACAACCTCATCGAGTACGCAGGAGTAGATGCGTACGCCACGTACAAGTTATGGTTCATAATCGACTACATCACAGATGGTTCGAAATATGCGAAAGAGCGGGAGGCTGAAAACTACTACGACCGCCCCTATTGCCCCTTTACGGGATGAAGATACATCAGAGCCTACCTTCGTTTTACTTCCGCTTGTGCTTGCTTTTTATCTTGTTGTTTCAAATTAGTAGTTTGCTCTTGTTGGGTTGAACCAGTATGATTATTTCGTGCTTGTCATGTTTGAACAAGTTTAGTTATGTCATCAATTACAATGTTTTGCTTATCTCATTATATAAGTTTGGTTTGGTAGCTTCGTATGTTGTTAATCCATCATTTCAAAATTGAAAAGTAGCTTCTGAATGGAACATTATCGCTGCTCTAAAGTACTAGTTATGATGCAACTAATCACACAACGTTGATCCATGTCAGTACAACTCAGTACACTTGATCGGACAGTACATACTTACTATAATAAAAAATACAAAGAAGCATCAGTCCGTAAGCGCTACTATGAATGCACTATGAGTACAACTCAGTCTACACGCAAGTACCATAGTTCTGAAAATGACACCAGAAGACACTTGATAATAATCACAAAAACAAACACAAAAGAGAAGGCAAAAAACTCAAATGAAAAAGATTACACTCACACAAAACTGACAAGAACTAGAACAAAAAGTATCAGTCCAAGTTACTGGTGGAGTCAAGTACTAGATTCAAACAAACAAAAAAAGCCAAAAAAATTGACCGCCCAAGGTCAAGCGCAGGCCCTGACAATGCTAGATACTTGAACTCGAGCCCGTGGGCGAATCCTTAGTAATCCGCACAATGCAGGACCCGCCGACTAGGGCCCAGAGGTCGAGAGAGAGAGAGAGCGAGCGTCGTGTATAAGCGCTCAGGTAAGTGTTCAGAGGAGTTCGACTGGTGAGCCTCGGCTGCGCTTATAAACAGGTCCGGAGCCCCCTCGACTAGCGAGGTGGGACTAAACCCAGAGCGCACGCGCATGACGCACTGCACAGCCGCGTGGACGAGCTATCTGGGCCGGAAAATGGCCCAATAACCTGCATCGTCAACAAAACACCCCACCAATAAGCCCAGGTATACAAACCGGAGGACAGGACAAATGAAATATAAACTACAAGAAAAATGGTTGTCAATTAACCTCTGCAAGAAAAAAGGAAAAAATATGATACAAAAACAATGAACCTCTAAAAAGAACAGAACTTAATAGCCTATCTGTTAAGTGTACATAATTTAAAAAACCGAATTAAATATTACTTTCAAGTTCAACTACTAAAACTCATAAAGTTCAAACATATAATGTTTGTCAATTATGCTAAATTTCTTATTTATAGAAAAACTGACAAGTTCAACTACTAAAACTCTAAAAGTTCAAACATATAATGTTTGTCAATTATGCTAAATTTCTTATTTATATAAAATCTGACAAGTTCAACTACTAAAACTCAGAAAGTTCAAACATTATTTTAAAAACCGAATTAAATATTACTTTCAAGTTCAACTACTAAAACTCATAAAGTTCAAACATATAATGTTTGTCAATTATGCTAAATTTCTTATTTATAGAAAAACTGACAAGTTCAACTACTAAAACTCTAAAAATTCAAACATATAATGTTTGTCAATTATGTTAAATTTCTTATTTATATAAAATCTGACAAGTTCAACTACTAAAACTCAAGAAGTTCAAACATTATTTAAAAACCAAATTAAATATTACTTTGAAGTTCAACTACTAAAACTCAAAAAGTTCAAACATATAATGTTTGTCAATTATGCTAAATTTATTATTTATATAAATCTGACAAGTTCAACTACTAAAACTCAAAAAGTTCAAACATTATTTAAAAAACCGAATTAAATATTACTTTGAAGTTCAACTACTAAAACTCAAAAAGTTCAAACATATAATGTTTGTCAATTATGCTAAATTTCTTATTTATATAAAATCTGACAAGTTCAACTACTAAAATGCAAAAAGTTCAAATAGAATTTATTTGTCAATTCTGCTAAATTTCTTATTTATATAAAATCTGTCCACACCACAACGAACGATCTGGTCGTAAAATAATCTCAAACCCCCACCCCATCCAAAAAACAAAAAAAACTCAGTTCAAACATACATATGACATCGGTACTAAAACAGCAGGATCAGTCAGGCCACTCGCACCACTCTGACATCAAATTTCAAACCCGTGCGCTGTATGAAATTACAATTCAGTTCACACAGTACTAAACCATAAGTGGACTAAAATGAGAATACAAAAACTATAAAGGCCTAACTTAGGTTGGTACAGATGAAAATAAAATAAGTACAAGTTTTGAGCAACAACTCCCAGGGCACAGAAAAATGTTTTGAGATAAACTAGTGTATAAGACTTCAATGGAAAAACAATACTTAAACATCCACACGGAAAAACATCACATAGCATACGTCACCTAAACAGTGCAAAATGCCATCATCACCACCACAGATACGTGCAAGTGGGATTTAGCAGATCGTAAGTATAGCTTGACAAGACTAATCAGTGCAGCAGTAAAAAACATTTGTCTTGGACGGTTAGTTCTTCTAGGCCACCACCCGCGCCACCCACTGGGCGGTTGCCACGAGGCACTGCAAACGGCGACCCCCACAACCACTACACCCACGCCCCCGATGAACCGCCTCCCACACACCACCGTCGACGCACTGCAAAATACCCCATTATCTTCCATCTCCGCCTCATTCACAGAACCACCATTGCTGCTTCCATCTCCACTGCACACAAACCAAAAACTTCTCTCTCCCAAGCCCACAGTCGTCGGAGGAAGGTGATGGCGGAGGAAACGTCCGCCAAGCGTCACCATGGCGAGACGTCGAACAAGAGCAGCAACCTCGTCGACATTCACGTCCCCGGCGAGAAGCGCGAGTACACCAAAACGCTCAAAGGGGTTGAGCTCCACGGCAAGGAGACGCTGGAGATCGTCTGCACCAGCATACCAGACAAGGCCGACGAGGTGATGAGCAGGCTCAGGATGAAGGGCGGCGGCTTGTATCCGAGCTTCATCGGAGTTGATATGGAGTACACCAACCAAGAAGAACCTCCACAGATGGCGGCAGTCCTGCAGTTGTGCGTCAAGGAACTCCGCTTGGTATACCACATCGCAGCAGCCACAAAATGGTAACCCATACTACTGTACATTCATCTGGTGTACTAGTACTAGTCACTAAAAACTTAATTAAACTTGTTTCCCAACTAGATGAACTACTATAGATTGTGAAGTGGATGCACGAGTACATGTTTCTCAAGTTACATGCATTTCTGAAACTGTGAAGTGGATTGTTTCACCAGATTAGCATCTGAAAAAATGTTTATAGCATTCTGAACTTGATGCACCAAATTAATTTCTGAACTTGATGTACTAGCATAGATTCTGATCTTAATGCACTAGTATAGTTTATAGAATTGATGTATTAAAAGATCTTTGGTGAAGTGGTATAGGTCCATATCTTGATGCACATGTTTCTCAAATTAATTTCTGAACTTGATATAGATTTAATGCACAAAGATGTATCAAGCACTGGTATAGGTCTTTTATTCAATAAAAAAGAAAACTAAACTTGAATCAAGCAGCACATATATCATTGATTCTGGTAAAATGATTCTTGAATTTGGTGAAGCAATGAAGATAGCAAAAAAGAAAAAAATAACGCGATGTAGTTGAATTTAATTTCAGGACTTTGTGTACTAGTTTCTGAACTACATTCATGCATGACTCATAATATATAAGCATCTACCTCATGTATTATCACTTGTAAAACAAAAAAAGCAGAAGAATTAAATCTTCAAAAAAGAAGACTAATCTTTAAATGTGTGTCTCCCCCCTTACAGGCCCAAGCGCCTCAAAGACTTCCTACAGGAGGAGAAATTGTACACATTTGTCGGTTTCAGCATTGGAGGTGACAAGCAGATGCTGGAGAAGTCTGGTTTGGAAATCAACCCCAACAACTTCATCGACATGCAGCGCAACTAGAAAGATCCAAAGACCACCAAATACTATGACTCCTTGGCCGATGTTGCAGGCGGCGTCATCCACCCATTCTACGAAGGCATGAAGAAGAAGATGGACAGGGCCGACCACAAACTGTGGGGGACCAGCCCACTGCCAGAAAACCTCATCACGTACGCAGGAATAGATGCGTACGCAACGTACAAGTCATGGAAGACAATCGACAACATTGTGATAGGTTGGGATATTTCAAAAGAGCAGGAGGCTGACCCCTACTACCACTGCAACTTCACGGATGAAGATGCATGAAAGTCTGCATTCGTGTTGTTCCGCTTCTGCCTATCCTTAATCTTGTTGTTTCAGATTTGTAGTTTGCTTTCATTATATTGAACCAGCTACCTTAGTTATGTGTGTCAGGGTTTGAACAAGTTTGTCTATGTCTATCAAGTACATCGTTTGCTTATGTCATCCAACAAGTTTGCTAGCTTCCTATTTTGTTGATCCATCATTTGAAGTTGAAGTAGGTTGAAGTTGAAACTTGATGGCTGCCACGCAGCACTAGTCATGGAGAAATAAAAATAACACATAAATATTTTCACAAAAAAACAGTGACAGACTAACTAAGGACAAAAGAAAATAGTAGCCTTGGACGCTCAGTACAGCTTAGACATCAACGGTAGTACTATCACACTAAAAAAATCAGTTTTTAGTTTCAGAAGAACACTAAAAAGACTAAGTTTCAGCCGAGGACAACATTCAGTACTAAAAGAATCGTGCTAATGGTAGTTAGAAATTCACTAAGTACGGCAACAGGAAAAGCAAAAGAACCATCAATATGTATTTCCTAGTCACTAGCATACTAGGACTGAAAGTTCTGGTACACTTGAACACACGGTACATTCATTCTACAAAATATAAGAAGGAACGGGAAGCTTCAGTTCGCATTCCCTAAAACAGTGACACACTAAGAATAACAGTAATAATACAACTGAAATCTTAGTACAACTTTTTCTATACGGCAAGTGCTATGATTATACCAAACATTGCCTGGAGAAGAACCACAACCTAGAAAAAAGAAGGCGAAAACTAAATCAAAAAGATATCAGTTCGACAAAGGAGAAAAATCACGAGAAACACAACAGAAGACGTACTAGCCTCAAACAACACAAAAAATAAATAATTAATCAAAGTACTAGCACAATTGAAATCTCAGTACAATTTAGTTTATTCGGTAAGTGCTATGATAATACCAATTAATGCCTTGAGAAAGAAGTAGTTTTGAACTTAATAGGGCTATCTCTTAAATGTAGCTAATTTAAACCAGTGCTTCAACTTTTACTATGAAGTTCAACTACTAAAGTTCAAGAAGTTCAAACAAAAAATTGGCACCAAATTTTAAAAGCCTTATGCTAAATGGGATTACAAATCAGTATTAACAGAACTATATCATAAGTACAACAAAACGAGAGTACAGAAACTATAAAGGTCCAACTTAGGTTGGAATCAGATAAAAATAAAATAAATCTCACTTTCTCAGCAACAACTCGTAAATACACTTGAAAAAAGGTGTTTTCAGTTCAACTAGTATATAAGTCTTCAGTACAAAAAATAAAACTTAACCAAAACGAATTGTCGATGAAACATACACAAGTGAAAACAGCTATTCAACCACACAATCATCATGGAAAAAAAGTTTGTTAAACATTGTGCCACACTTAAACACAACACAAAATATACTAGTTATTACATAGTACTCGACAAGACATCAAAACACTACAAATAGAGCCTACAATGTTTTCAAGAGATATATCACACAACTATCCCATTCACTATGCAAATGATGACCATTTCTCCTATGCATCAGGAGCCAAAGTCTGAACCTCCTTGGGAAGCTCCATCACCACAAGCTGGCTATTCTGGTTGAACACAACTCTATACAGATCCTCAGCGTTCCAATCAACAATGCGTGGCTGCAAAACAATAAAACAAATTATCAAAAATCATGACACATAAAGAAAAGGATAAACAATAAGCTAAAAACAGAAAGTGAAAAAGCTCAACTAGAACCCACGTCATTATCTCGAATGTTCTCAACGATCTTTTCACCATCATAGCATCCCGCATACTTTAGAGTATAATGGCCACATTCATTTTCCCCTTGAAGTGGAACCTTGACAAACGTTGGTTTCTTTGCAAACAACTCCTAATTGGGTTGCTTGCTCGCATTGTACTGAGCATCACCATACACAGCCTTCATTACTTTGACCAATCTAGAAATCTGTAAAAACAAAAGAAACACACAATTTTAGGTCTCAGAAAAAGCAGAAACAAAGATGCAGAAAAATTAATCCAGTATAGATCATAAATGTCACTCACAATCTTCTCGCAGTCTTTATGATAGGTGTACTTTGAAGGACGGTGGTTCTTCAGATAAGGTAAAGAGTCAAGGATGTCAACGCTACTTCGGTACCGATTCATGACATATAAGGAATAGTGGTTCACTTTCTTATCCTTTCCTAAAATCATAGGCTTGAATAGAGGCATCATGATCTAAAAACAAATGACCAAAAAAGAGATGTTAAATATTCAAAATAAAAACCAGCATCATAACAAACAAATAAAACAAAAAATCAGCTAGTAGATCTCACAAGGTCGTCACTGAGCAAGTCTTCCTTATCTTTAACATAGCTCTTGAAATCTCTCGCTGCACTCTCCACATTAAACACTTTATTTTCATCACCGTAAAACATACAGTCAAGCACAACCTGCAAAAAAGCCAAAATAGAAATAAACAACGGAAATGGATCAACAAGCAAAGTAATATTAAAACTCGTAAAAACAATAGGCAGTCTTGTTCAACAGAAAGAAACCGATTTGATTGATTATCGTGATGAAATATGGACTCAGCAATACCCTTTTCCCAGATGCGAAATCAGCATTTCTCTTGAGATCTTGCTTCCAATCATCAATGAGGAAGTCCATTACATCACCCTCCATCATTTCCCAGGTGAAAAAATTTCCCAGATGCGATTCCTAGTGAAGCTAGTTACACTTTCGTCAGGCTGAGGTATCATTGAGAATGTATTCCTGCAGCACAAACAAGAACAAAAAGAAGGAGAAGCAAGATAAGACATTCACAACCATTCAAGTTGTATAAAAAGGAACAATTTAGGTCATATTTATCTAGCAGTTACAAACAACAGAAGAAAAAGAAGTGGAAAAATAATGAGAGATACTCACTCGGCATACTTCTCACACCATTCATCACTAAGAAACAGATTATACAACCTGCGAGCCTTGTCCAGGTGAGGAAATTTATGAGGGTGAAGCTGCTGCACAAGGGAGCAAAACTTTATAGGAGCTCTGGGCGCACGCTTCACGCTTACAACATTGCCAGAATCCAAAGCAGGATCTTTCCTAGCACCACCAGCTCTATGAGCCACTATTCCAGCAAGGGGAGATAAACCTTTGGCATCAGCGCTCCTCGTGACTCTTCCCATGCCAGCAATCTTGTCAAACACATCATCATCGCTGTCTATCAATTCCACAATGGGAATCTTGGGTGTAGTAGGGCTCTCTACACAAGCAGCCGTAGAACCTCTCACAGCTCCCAACCGCCCCTTCATAACACCAGATCTTGTCTTGTCGGGAGAACGCCCCTGGCTAAGATCAATAGCTATGCGCTGGAGCTCCGAGAACTGGCTGCCAAAGAACCTGTAGTCGTGCTCAGCAAGATCCAGCCACTCACCCGCAAAAACAAAAACGAAAAAAAAGAAGAAGACCGCACAAAGGGTGAGTTCAAATACATAATTCATGACAGTACTAATAGAGAAGTACAAGCTACAAAAAAATACAAAAGGACATGCACACATACATGGTTTGATGCCAAACAAACCCCAGAAGTCAACATCAAACACATCGCTAGTTGCGCAGGTATACGGCAAAGTCTTCCTAATGTCAAGAATGTCTTCATGGCTGTAATCGACCATTTCAATTACACCATCCTCCCGGCAATGATAGGTCTTGCAGTTTTGTAGCATAAAGAATCCACAATCATGCCTGTAAACAAAGGAAAAAACAAAATGGTACAACACAAATACGAAAATACAGGAACAACATCCTCCTAGCAACAAAAACAACCAACAAAAATCATTAAAAACGGATACTTACATGTTTTCCTGCCGCGGCACCCGCACAAACTCGCAAGAGAAACCATCAATATGCACTGGCGAGAACAGTTTGGCCCTGTCTACACTCGACTCCCTCCAAAGCTTCTTTATATTCTCTATCATATTCCTTAAGAATCTAACTGCATCATCCCAGGTTTCATCACGGAGTGAATCAAGACACTCGAAACAACGGAACCTCAAATTCAGAACAATCAAGCACCAATGCCCAGATACTTCGCTAGGCTTCATGGTAGCCGCAAATGGCGGCGGATCAAAGGTAGGGAAAAGAAGTTGAAAAAAATTCGCAGAGGAAAAATGAATTTAACAAATCATAATGAAACAAAAAATTAGCCTCCAAACAATAAAATAAAAGAGGGAAATTGAAATTCAGAAGTACAAACAAAAATCAGGTAATCATAAGAGTTTATATCCATCGCCCAAAATTGAGGAACAAACATATCAGTTCAATTTCCCTGCGACAATAAGTCCAGCTTTAAAAAAAGAAGCACACATCATTCATAAGTACAGGTGTAAAACCAGGCTAATCAAGTTCATTCCCCCACCTCCCAAACCAGCAAGAAAATATGACAGTTCTAGTTCATGAGTACAAAAAGTCCAAGTTCACCTACCTGGTCAAAACCATCAGCACCTGATCTCGTGAACCAATTTAGCACATTGGAATCAATATTTCCATCACGGATCTTGCTCTGTTGTAAAAAAAGAACAACAAACAGTTATAAAATTGGCAAAACAAGTTATTATCCTATTTACAAAAAGCAAAATACTGACCGTCACCCATCTGGGAACTATCAACTTGTCAGTGTCTCGGTACTTCTGACGTAGAGAATATAAAAC